TTCCTGCAATCATATTGAGCGATGACATTGAACCCCGTTCCGTTGATGTATGTCGACGTAAAACTGATTGGTTAAACTGGAAACAAGCAATCCAAGTCGAACTCGATTCGCTTGTTAAACATAAGTGTTTGGACCTGTGGCTCATACTCATCCACATGTGAAGCTCGTTGGCTACAAGTGGGTTTTCGTTTGGAAGCGCAATGGGAAGAACGAAATTGTACATTACAAAGCTCGTCTTGTTGCGCATGGCTTTTCACAACGCCCCGAGATTGACTATGATGAAACTAATTCACCCATTACGGATGTGATTACTTTTCGCTACCTTATCAGTTTGGTAGTTTTCGAAAAACTGAGTATGTAGCTGATGAACATAGTAACTGCATATATCTATGGGGATCTTGATATAGAAATTTATATGAAAGTTCCCGAAAGACTTACATTGATTGGATCAAATATTTTCAAACCCTGGAATATGCTCTCAATTCAGTTGAGGCGTTCACTCTACGGTTTGAAGCAATCCGAAAGAATGTGGTATAACCTTCTAAGGGAGTATTTGACTAGTCAGGAATATGTGAACGACGAACTATGCCCTTGCATGTTCATTAAGAAGTCACATTTCGATTTTACGATTGTTGCAACGTATGTCGATGACATGAACCTCATCGGAACTTTTAAAGAGCTGGAGATAACTGTAGAGCACCTGAAGGCAAAATTTGAGATGAAAGATCTAAGAAAGACTCAATACTGTCTCAGTCTCGAGATAGAGCATCGTTTGGATGGAATCTTAGTACATCAATCGAACTACACCTAGAATGTGTTACGCTGCTTTAATAAGGATAAAAGAAAGCTTTCGAGTACTCCTATGATCGTTCGATTGCTAGATGCAAGACGAGATCCCTTTCATTCGAATGAAGATGATGCAGATATTTTGAAGCCCGAAGTTCCTTATCTAAGTGCGATAAACACTTTATTGTACTTAGCTCAATACACTAAACCCGATATCTCCCTTACTGTTAATCTTTTGGCAAGATACAGTAATGCACCAACATGCAGACACTAGACAAGTGTTAAAAACATCTTCCGTTACCTTAAGCGTACTACGAATCTGGGCCTATTCTATCATTACGGATCCTCGAGTGATGCTGCACCCCTATCTCGAGTCGATTCTCGCCTTGTTAGTTATGCCGACACATGTTACTTATATGACTTGCACAAGGCGTGCTCTCAAACGAGTTATGTCTTTACCGTTAGAGGCACCACAATATCTTAGAGGTCAACTAAACAGACCTTAATTGCGACTTCGTCTAACCATGCTGAAATTCTTGCCTTACACATAACTACTCGGGAATGCTTCTAGTTGAGAACAGTTGTGGGCAATATCTGAAGCTCTTATGATCATTACCCCCTCGTTGACATCCCGATGACGATCTATGAAGATAACGTAACATACATCGAACAACTTAATAAGGGTTACATCAAAGGAGACAACATCAACCACAATGTGTTGGAATTCTTCTTCTCATATCAACAACAAGAGCATCAGAAGATTGAAGTCACGGAAATCCGTTCATAAGACAACCTGGCCAACCTCTTCAACAAATCACTACCAAAGGCGACGTTTCAGAAGGCTGTTCAAGGAATAGGTATGCGTAAACTTTCTAAGTTATAACATTGTTAGTTCTCTTTGGAATTATGTCGAACTCAGGGGGAGTATCCTGAAGTATACTTGTAACATCCCACATCGCCCAGGGGAATGGATCCTATAAACCTTATTTGTATATTCTTATCTCTACCTATAGCACAAGGCATTTTGGGAGCTCACTGGCTTTGGGTTCCATAGGAACTCCGAAGTTAAACGAGTTTGCCAGCGAGAGCACTCCTATGATGGGTGACCCACTGGGAAGTTCTCCTGTAAGTTCCCAGAAACAAAACCGTGAGGGTGTGGTTGGGGCCCAAAGCGAACAATCATGCTATGGTGGAGTCGAACCCGGGATGTGATGGGGGCTTGGGCCGGGATGTAACAATACTTGCTTGATCTTAATGTACTCTTTTTCCCTATGATTAGGAGCATCTTTTCCTTTGGGTTTTTGCTACCTAACGAGGTTTTGACGAGGCACCGTTGATTATATCCCTTATGACATCCGGCAGACGTTTCATTTGACTTTGCATTCTCTCACGCATTTTTCCTTAGACTATGGTTTTGTCCCTACTTGGTTGTTACCATAGCCATTGGGATTTTTGTGAGACTTAGTTCCATTTGCAAGTTCCTACTTTACTTTAAGATTAGCGTGTTCCCAGAATCAATGCTGACAAGTCGACTTCCTCAATTCTACATGATGCTGAATCTACTTGAGTATTTGCACATTCAAAGGGGAGTGTTATAAACATTGTATTTAAGTGTGATTCTGTAAATCGTAGATTAGATTTGATACTAGTTATTCTTCCCTATTAGGACTTGTATTCCTTGGAGGAGAATGATTATTTCCTCCCTTATTACTATAAATAAAGACAATACATAGGGTAAATAACGCATCCTCTACACAACCTTACAAAGACATCTCTCTCCCTACTCTCTCTGCTGCCGCGACTCCCTCCTTCCTCAACAGATTAAAATGAGCCACAACACATAAATAACTATACCCACCTTAATGTTATCACTAATTTAATTAAATGAAGAACAATAAAATTATGATTTTAATAATACATTCCAAAATCGGGGAGCTCTCACCACTTGCAAATTGGCCCCTCTATCACAAAGATGAATCTTAAACCTCGAATTATATAAAGTTGTACTAGATTCTTTGAAGGATATTTACCTTTAATTAACCATCATGCAGGAGATGTAATCGCCCATTACTTGGGAAGGACAAAGATTAAGAAACGTTAATCCACTTGCTTAGTGGCAATCCCATTTCGTCCACCCTAGCGATAATACTTTTTAGTAATTATTATTTGAACAATACTTGACTACTCAAATATGAGTAGGAATTCATACTCATAACTCTTAGTGTTTTAATTACAGAGCTTTGTGCTTATGATCAGAATTGTTCATACTATGAATCACACTGTAAAGATCATATATGCAAAACATAAATTAAAACTAAGGTCGTTTAGTTAATCTATTGTAGCAAATACATAGATGGTTTGTAATGTTTTTACCAATACCGTTCATTTGTTTTTAAACAGTTTGATGACTAAACGACCTTAGCTTTAATTTATTTTTTGCAGAGGCGATCTTTATAGGGTGATTTATAATATGAACAGTTCTGATTATAAACACGAAGTTTTATAAATAAACAATGAACAATTTGAAAATTTTTAAGTAGAAGTTCATACTCATCTTTAAATAGCCAAATATTGTTGTCATTATTTAGATAAAAGTGAAGAAAAGCATAATTTTTTTTTGTTTGGCTTAATTAGTTAACTCCCTTTCCTGGTGAAGTGAATTTGCATACCGCGTAATAGGTCTTTACCGATAAGAGGAAAACAATCCTCCTAAAGACCCAAAAATACGACACAAAGTGAAAATTATTACATAAATAATAAACATAGCCAATCCAATTTTAAGATGCCGATGAACACCATAAGTATACATAGTAAAATCTTGCATGCGATTTCAACCAAAAAAAATCCTGCATGCAATCACGTAAACACCATACACCTGTAAAAAACTCTTTTATATTTTTATTACATATGTAGATGTGAAAAGATCAAAACACAAACACAGTGGATCAAATCCAAGCAAAAATAATTGTATTCACACCAATTATATTGTATTATTGGCACTCCGTCCGATTACGCCATGTAGATAAATGAGAGCTAGTAGCATGCCACTTAACTACTTAGAAAAGCAAAAGCAAACTAAAAAGCGCAAAAAATGTGGAAATCGATCTGTATATTTGGTCGGTAATTAATTTATGATATTTATGATTTTATTCACTCTTTACATAAAAGTGGTGCATGTCATTCAACAAATTTCATATCATACTTTTGGTTAAAAAAATTATATCGTACTTTTTAAAACGATAACTGATATATAGTAGAGTAATTCTAATTGCCTAGTCTTTTATTAGTTTATCTGTTGTCATTTTATATGATACAAAATTTACATGAATAATATCATTCATGTAGAATTTTTTTTTTATAAAAAATATGAATTACTTTTTCTAATTATATTAGAAAGAATCGAATTTTGAATCTATTTAATTTCCACCTAATTATCTCACCATAAAGCGTACCCTAGACCTAATATTACCTAGCTAGCTAGGTCAAGGTTCTTCTTCCATGAATCTCTCTATATGGCCATCACTTTCTTTTATGCTATTCCTTATAATAGGTTTTCATTATTTTCTTATCGTTTTCGATGCTCTCTGCTACCTTATCTTAACAATAAAAATTACCACCACGTATGGCTCGACCTCTTTGTTATTGAAGCTAATCTTTTTCTGTTAGGACTTGGATTATGAATTCTAATTCACGCTTGTACAAACAAAAACACAAAGAATATGGTGTACATGTCCACTTGATCAGCCTATTGTGGATCGATCCAAGAAAGCAAACCCTTTAGACGTTGACAACGAAATAAAGCTCTCTAGTTCTCTCTCCATCTCTCCTGATCACATGAATCCAAAAGGCCATGCCAGTGCTGGTGGTATAGTCTGCTAGCTAGGGTTGAAAGATTAAAAGAAAGTTCAAAAGCTTGGTTTGTGATTAAGTGGATTGCAAACCTAACAGGCACAAAATAAAGATCAGTCCACCTTTTGTACGTGTCCCCAGATTTCCCACTTGGCGGCTCGTCGTCCGCCATCGTGGAGTCATTTTTGGGTGCTCCATATATATAATGGACACGGTTCACAGTTCACAGTTCACAACCCATAGTGTCTTGAGTGGTGGAAAGCTTTCTCAATTCAACATCAAACAGGGAGAAAGCTGAAAGAGAGACAAAAAGTCACAAAGGTTTGTTCATTAATTAGGAGTATATATAATTGTTTGAGTCATGAAGCCATGCGTTGATCACAAAGCAAAGTATTATTTCGCCTTTTACACTAAAGAATACCGTGTTCTTATCATTTTAAGTGGCATACGTCCATTTTTGAAGGAGTGTATCTCTGTCGGTGTACCTAGAAAAAAGCTAATAAAAACAATAAAAATAATTGTTTGAGTGAGTAGCTTCTCTCTTTTGTAACTTTGTTATATATTAACCATGCACCTTTATCAACGTACGTACTACTTGGCTAACGATTTTCTTGAATAATTGAGGAGAGAAGCTAGCTAAGACCAGAGACAGGCAACTAGACATCTGCTTTGAGAAACTGAAAGTATGGGCATGGCAGAGGAGACTAGATGTAAAGTGATTTTCCTGTTTGGTTAGCAACAATGGTTGGACTAGTACTACTTCATATAGGTATGCATGCATGCTTCTTGAAAAAGAAACATTATTACTTGTATTCTGTGCTGACGCTGAATTTTGCCATTTTAAAGATACTATTTAGGTGGGAGGACTTGAATGCGTATACTAGTACCCTTTGCCAAGTTGTCATTTTTTAATTATACAAGCAATATCGAGGGAAGAAAAATAGAATGTAAGATTTCAAGTAAATCGATGAATACTCTGAATTACTTGAGCTACAAATCTCTTATACCATATTAATCACGAATACTACAATTCAATTTTTTTTTAACTAGAAATATAAACAAATAAATGAATCAAGAAAAATAAGATTAATACTTTCCTCTCATGAGATCAGCAACCGTACAATACCTTACAATATTTAAAAGGTAGCACTACTGTCATGGTGAACTACTCAAACAATACTTGATAATTGACATATATGTTGTTGGGCCATTAGTAATATACAATTGATATGTCATGAAGCCATTAGTAATAGATAATTGAATTGGTATTTTTAGTGGAAGTTGTACGTATCCAGAACTTGGTTACCAATGAGCAAAACAATACTGTAATCTAGGGTTTCTGAAGTAAGAAATTGAAGAACTCAGAAGAACTTGAAGAAAGAAATGAAAATGCAGAAATTGAACCTTTCAATTAAGGAAGTTTTAACGAAAAGTTCAAAGTACTGTTCACTTTAACGAAAAACCATATTTTTACACTAAAAAGTCAATCAGTGTACTATTTACTTTACCCTTTATTTTGTCCTTATCATTAAAATTCAAAATTTTCAAACTCTTTTTATTAGTTTTCCTTTCAATTAACCAACTGAAGTCATTTCCACATCAGCTATATATAACTATCCAATCTTCGTTTATCAACTAAGCTATTACACTGCTTACAATTAAACAACCAACACACAAATGACAAGCGTACATATACACAAATGACAAGTGACATCATCCAGCATCATCTATGTTATTAGCTCCAGCTCATTAGAAGCGAAATTAATTATATTATTAACGTTAATTAAACCTGGAACTAGGTAGTTAGTGTCTGTTGAAGTGTAGCTGTTATTTGAGACCTTATGACAACTTGAATTGATAGGTTGCTCCCTGCCCTATCAACCATCCTCTCCAGCCCTCCAAATAACCAAATAAGTTGCTCACTCACTGTCATAGTTGAACTAAATTTCTTGAAGCAACCAAATAAACTTGAGGTACGTCTCGGTGTTTGTCGGGGTTTTGTAATCTAGCTATATGTGTTGTTTTAGTTTTCTTGTAAAAAGTAATGAGAGAAAAATAAACATTGATGTATATGTTATTAGCATCTTTGGTAATATTCCAGGTTTTGGATCAGGACAATGGATCTTGTCTCATCGTTCAAATCATTGGTGTAATCTAAGTCTTTACCTACTCAATCAGACAAGACCAAAGTAAAAAAGTAAAGCAAAAGTTCAAGTAAAAGGAAAATGACTAATGGGGACTCTCGCAGTGCCCAGTAGGAATTTTTTATTTTTTGAACAACCAATAGTATCTAAACTCAAAGAGTAGGAGTGAGTTAAGCCTTATAATAGACTTGTCATAATAATGTGGTTTAACTTCGTCTTTGACGATAATTGAACCTAAAACCTCTTATTAAGAGATTAAAAAAAATATCACTGAATTGTAGTACTAAGTTGCAAAAATGCAAAGTAAGATTTAAAAGTTATTTATTTATTATATCTTCTCGGAAGCAAGAGGTTATTTAGTTAGAAAAAAAAAACAGCGTCTAGGATCGTGCTTTAATACTAGATGCAAATTACATAGGGTTAAGTGCTTTAATACCTAATTTAATTACTCTTCATATTTTAATTTTGACAAGGGTAAGTCCATAAAGAACAAGGTCCATTCTTTGTAGGTTGCTCTAAGCTCTTATTTAAGTTAAAAGTTATTGTTTCGAAGAAAATAATGAGATGAGTCCAAACATTTCTTTTTAGTCATATATGGTCCTTTTAACTCAAATTCGATAATAAATTAAGTCTAAAATCATTTTAAGTATTACCTAAAATCATTTTAAGTATTTAAGGAATCTTATTCTTGTTTGTATTTTGCTTCCAATTAGGGTTTCTTGGGAAACTCGAGTTTGAATTTTAAGCAACCCTAACTCAAATATAAAAGAATTCATATGCTACATGATTAACTAGTTGTACCATGTTAACAACCTAATGCAGTTAATAATCACATGTTAACTAAATTTGAAGAACTCGTGCATCACTGCTCTATTAATTTGCAAAGCTGCTTTTTTTTTTCTTTTTTCTTTTTTCCAATTGGAATGGAAGAACAACGTTGCGGTGTTACCTGACAAAACCTATTGATTACAAGTAATACTATGGAATAATTTACCCTAAAATACTGAGTTTATTCCTTACCAAAACAGAACTTTGTTTTTATTTGAATCCTAAGCCGTACAAGTAGAATTATTGACTAACAAAAGATGATTACTAACTTACCAAAACCAGCAACAGCTTGTTAGACTACTAGCCATAGCCTGCGCATATACATATAAGTTATAATACATTCTTTGGATAAATCACCTTCTACAACTAATTCAGTAGTATTAGGCCTTCCACAGTATAATGGTACCACACTCATGTGTCTAATATATTGAACTATCATGTGTCTAATAAATTGGTATTACACTCAAATTTTTCGGTCTACTGTAGAAGTGTTGATTCCTATATGAGTTTAATATATTAATATCACTCTCATTTTTTTTCAACCTACTGGGAAAGACCTTAGCATCACGTTACTATGTGCCTAATGAAAACAACTTGAAATTTTGAATTTTTGAGTCTTAGATTAATCTTATATAAATAAATTTAATCAAATTAAAGCATAAAACGATAAAAACCGAGCTAGCTACTACGCGCCTAAATATCCTTGTATCTGTCTGTTCACAAGAACAACTGAAAAACTACCACGACAAGGACTGCAAATTTGCACATATCTTAGCAAGTTTAGTGAGCCTGACCAGTCCTCCTACCAACATTTCTTGTGGTCCAACCTTTCGTATTTATTCATTTCGTACTTATGAATTTCGACCTTTGGTTGCTTTTTCTGGACTAAAAGATAAAGTTTTGTTAATGATTGATGTTTATGATTCCTGAAATCGAAGATTTGGTGATGTCACATGAATGTACTGAGCTTTGCCGCTAAGCAAAGGGAAGCAAAACACTGGCCAGTGGGCACCTCCAAATTAACCTAATTATTCTTCAAACATTCGACGCAAATGGCCGGTTTAGAAACACAGCCAAAACTAAATTAAATAGTGTGAGGGAGTAAATGGCACATGTGTAAAGAGCTGAGAAGGCCGATTCCCCATTTTCCAAAAGTCCCTGTCCACTTAATTCCAACAATTTTGGGGACATTGCCGGCTTCCTATTGAGCCCAAAATCTATGGAGGGAGGCATAAACTCATCAATGTTGTTGATTTGTCTAATCATTATTTTCCCTCTAATAGGGAACAAGGGATTCTCTCCTAGCTAATATGCTTCGGGGCATCTTATAAACTGAATTTTTTAACTGTTAAATTTTTGTTCAAGTATGTAATGGCCAATATTTTACAGTTAAAAATCTCTAAGTAGTTTTTCTCGTTTCAAAATAATTTTTCTTATTAACTAGCTAATAATGCTACCATGCCTTAGCTAGCTACATATTTTAAAATGTGTACCTTAATTACTTGTACTTTTCAATCCATTTGGATTAGGCATCTTTGTCCAAAGCAGGTCTTTTATACAAGGAAAATAAAAGACTAGTTCCAGATAAATCCTAGAGCAGAAACAGATTTGAGCCAGTGACAAAATGCCCCAACGTAATTAGGTTAAAGAAAGTACTACAGCTACTACTTGGAGATAAAATGAGAGTTAACCCGACCCAACAGGATCCTCTTCAGATCCTTTTGGTGAAGATCATGGGGATCTATGAATTATGTCTGTTCATTGTACATCGTGAAATCAGTTTTTGTCAAGTATTGTTTGTGTTTAATTTTAAATAAAAATATTTAAAATAATTTCTGACCGCACGATGTACGTTCAACGGACAGAATTGATGGATCCCCAAGATCCTCACAAAGAGGATCCGGTGGAGGATCCGGATTCTAGCCCTACTATGTTGATTTAGACATGTTGAATGACAAAGCAAATTTTAGAAACTGTTATTAGCACTCTAAAAATCTCATTCTACACATCTCATAAGTGTATTTTTCTTTCTAATTATAGAAAGATTGAAGTACAAAATAAGATTTTTGGAGTGCCAATGACAATTCTCTTATTTTATTATATTAAATATGGGTCAGGATCAGGAGACACACACTTTTTAACACACATTTTGACACACTTTCCTTGAGCCCATTCCATAATGTACTTAAATGATCCAACCATCTATCTTTTTGGTATTTCCTCGAAGATAATCTCTACAAAAAAATCACTCAAATGCGAAACCATATAACCGTTGGATTTATTTGTAGTCATTTTAAGTGTTTCCTTGTGAAACCTATTCGTCTATTTTCTTCACTACAATAAACGTTTTAATGGTTTTTGGATTTGTCTCATTTTTTGTAAGGATAATGTATGAATGATAAATTGAAATATAGACAGCTCGGCCTTAAAGAAACACTACTACATTTAACAGTTCTAGCAATGAAGAACATTTGATCATGCAAAGAGAAATTCCGTCACATAAATATTAAAGCGACAAATCTTCGTCATTTGCACAAGTTGTTGTGCAAAGGCCGCGAAAAAAGATTTGCACGACGTGAACTTCCTTGCGCAACAAACGGAGCCCCATGAAAAAATGAGGTTTCGTCGCAATAAATGTATTGGAACGAAGCTCTTCATCGCGGGAAGAATAAGGATACAAGAAAATGTTTCAAAATGGGTGTTCCTCGATCCTAACCCATTAAATATAAGTGGTATACGTTACTCGTCATATTAAAGGTTTATAGAGATACTATATATATAAAAGAATAACTTTCATGTAGTCATAAAATTTTTAGGTCCCAACTTGGACTGGTTATATATTGGAATAAACCAAGAGAAAGAGCTCCAACGTATCTAATCCAAATCAAAGTAAAACAACGTACATACGCGTAGAAAAGGAGACATGTTCTCAATCTTCGCTTTACTATGCATCTTCTAGGTAATCATTAGCAAGAAAAATCCAGCAACTAGCCAAACATATTGAATGACAAGACAAAGCCAAACACATTGTGCATACTCACGATCAAAAAAGTGAGAAGATAAAGGACACGAGTTGTAATTTTTTGCGTCTTACTATTTTTCTTGTATCTCACAACCAAATTAATTGCCTGGCAAGCCAAAGGCAAGCCACTAGTTGGAAATTTTTTTGTATTCTCATATCAGAAGATAAAAAAAAGGTTGAAGTACAAAAACAAAATAACAACTTTAAAAAATAATGCATATGTGTTATCCCAACCCACCCATCCATCCAATAACTTGATGGGCCAACCTAGAAAAGTAGCAGATGTTTGAGTTAGCAAACCTAGAAAAGTAAAATATAAAAGTAAAGTCATATACTCATATGATTGTATATTTTAATATCTTAATTATCTTATCTTTATGAGTGTTAAGCTTAAACTTATCTGTCACGCACTTGTATTAGTAATAACAAGGGGCACTTGTGAATAGCGTGACCACTTCTCCAACATAGATGGCATACTCAGATTCTCAACTAAAATAAATACCAAAAGAAATCTAAATTAAAAGAAAAAAAAGCATAAATGGAGATGTAGAGATGAGGATTGATGCGTGGTTATACCATCATTTCTTTTTACCTTTTGGGTCACTTGGTATTGTTTTTGTGGGGGCATTTTTTCACCACCTTCATGTTGTGGTAGCAGAGTAATGCTAGGTAAACTAAATTTTGCAGACTAAATGATGTGTCATAAATAAGAAAAAGGCATGTCAATCAATACTTAAGTAACAATACAATAATCAACTTTCATGTCATTTAGTTTACAAAATTCAGTCGATAAATTTAGTCTCACTAGTATTACCTGGTGATGATAATATGCTCATATTCTATTTTTCATTATTATTGGATAAGTTTAAATTTTAAGATTTGTATCTACCAACTATCTCAATCTTGAAATTTAAACTCATTTAACTTTAGTGATGAATAAGTTAAGAAGCATCATCATCCACTAAGGGTGGTGAGAAAAATAATTCCTTGTTTTTGTGGCCGCTACCCTCTCACTAATAGATCTCAACACCCTTGGTTTTGAAGTTGGGATATATTAATTAAATACAATAGCCCCAAACTTACCATATTATTATTATTATTATTATTATTATTATTATTATTATTATTATTTAATTAATAATACAAAAGTGAGACAGGGAGAGAGAAAATGTGTACGGTAATTTTATAGTATTAAGTATGGCACAAAGGCACATATTAGAAAGCGGGGTTGCATGAAAGCCAAAGCTCATTGGCCACTGGTGTGGAGTTCCATAGCACTTGTGCGCATATATCATCGCTCTCTTCGGCCGTTTTTCTCTCCCCTTATCTCTCTCTCTCTCTCTCTCTCTCTCTCTGCTTTGCTCTTCTGCTTGTAACTGTACCGACATGGCTCCTAGCAAATGGGGTTTCTCTGCTTCCGTTTAGAACTCAAATTAAGCTGCTCCTTCCACTTACTCTACAAGCACTTCTACAATTGAGTTCTTCTCCACCAACCTCACTGTTAAAACGGTCTGTTCGGAATCTTTAGACTTGTTTCTATGCTTTCCTTCTTTTCTTCAGTTATTTAGCTTCTACGGTTGCGATTTCCGGTTTTCGCTTACATGATTGTTGTTCTCTCTTCTAAGCAATCATATTTTTGCTACCTCACTGCTAAAAAGGGTCTGTTCGGAATCGTTAGACCTGTTTCTATGCTTTCTTTCTTTTCTTTCAGTTATTTAGCTTCTACGGTTGCGATTTCCGGTTTTCGCTTACATGATCGTTGTACTCTCTTATAGGTCATCATATTTTTGCTAATATCCTTCACAATTCAGTATCTTTTGTTGAGTTTGTTTTACTCTTTCTGCTAGTTCTCTTTTTTTTTTCTTTTTTTTTTTTCTTTTTTTTCCTGTTATCTCATTTTTATGTATGTCTATTTCCTTCTCTTTTTTCTTTCGAAATATTCCATTTATTTATTCCCTAAATTCAGCTTGTTTTCATCTTCTATGTACTAATTGGAAGCTCATATGAGCAGTTAGACATTCTTTTCTTATATCATAGGAACATTTTAGTTGCATATTGTTGTCAAATATTTCATTAAAATCACACACAGAAGAGGCATGTTGGTCGAGCGATTAGTAACAGAAGGAAAACTGTCCTCTTTGGTGGATTTATTTCAATAGATACATTTCAGTCCTTCTCCTTCTTTAACTGAAAGGTAGCATAAATGGTATGTTTTTAACATTCAACTTTGAATTTGCAGGCATTGTATGGAATATTTGAATTAGAATTAAGTAAAACTCATTGCTGGGATCATTAATTTTGGAGGACAGTATGGCTATGCAAACTGTGTATTTCAAGGGACATGAAGGAATTGCCCCTAATCCCATAGGCCAGTTTTCATCTTCATTGTCAGGACCTTGGTGGAGTTCCTTGGGATCTCAACCGGTGTATGGTGAATCCTGTGGCCTGTCGAAACCTTCTACTAAGGAGCAGCCCAATACTGGGGACCATTTCACTGCCACTAAACTTGCCGGGCGGGGTACTGAACAAGGACTGGAAAAAGGGAACACAAATCAGTTCACTATCTTTCCTGGTATAATAATCTCCTCCTTTACTTTTGATGTCTTTCCTTTTCTAAAAGACTTCTATTTATGAAGTCTTTTGGTCAATAACATTTACGTAGTGGTTTTGAAAAGAAAGGAAATGCTTTACTAGCTTCTTTTTTGTCGCTGAAATTTCTGTCTGAAGATAAGGTTCGTATCCTTCGTCATGAAGATCCCTCGTTGTTTCCTTGTTCATCATAGACTGATTGGAGATGGGCTAAAATGTGGGGTCAGGAAACGTGTTTTTTCTTTTCGTATCAAACATTTAAGGATTCCCCTTGGCGATGATTGAAGGTAAAGTGAGTAGCAAAAGTTTAGTCATATTTGGTGAAGAGAGTGAGTGTAGTTAGTACTTGAGAGATACTTGAGGGGGTATGAGAATCTTTCTTCGCCAACCCTCGAGGTAAGTTTTTTTTTTTTTTTTTTTTTTTTCTTTTCACGCGATCTTGTCGATAAGTTTTCTTAAATATCATTGCTGCAGCAAATCATGAAGAAACTAGTTAATAAGGTGCGTGGAAGATGAGAAATGAGATAGTAGAAGAAGGTTTATGAAAAAGACGCACCATTACATGTTCGAATAATATCCTTTTCGGGATCATATGTCAGAGCTTAAGCTGCGATGATCTTAGTGTTAGGGGTTTTAGGAAGTTAAGGTGGAGTTTCTTTTACTATAGTCTCCTTCCCATTAAATTTGATTATGCTGATGCGATATCGGATATCTTATAATTTTTAAGTATGATCTTCATCAGGTTTAGAAATAATAAAGAAGGGGCTTATCTTTCCCCTAAAGATCGGAGCCTAAATGTCGAACCATCTAGATGCATTCATTGCTTATATGTTATAGGACGCTACTAATTGTACCTTCATTTGGAGTATTCTCATGAATCCCAGGGAGAGTAAGAAAATTATGAAACTGTACGCATAAGGTTTAGGTGATTCTCTAACATTGCCTAGAAAATCAGTGATAGCAATAACATTAACCATGTTCCTCCACTAAGCACCTCTCTATGCCCCTCACTCACCACTCATTCGAGCTCTTCTTTACTCTGAAGCCTGATTGTGTAGCCCACCCTTGTCCCGGCTTAATTATGAAGAAGAGGTTGTCTCAGATCACGTGGGAGTCGGAGCCCTACTGCTGAGAGTTATTTAATTTTAACTGCCTTTTAGTAATCTGGGTGAGAGGAATATGAAGGACCCATGAGAGACTGGTGAGGGTTTTGACGTGAGCAGCATTAAAGCGAGCTTTAATCCTTTATCGACACTTCTATTCCAAACTGCTCTCGAAATGCCACCTTGTAGGAATTAGGTACAAAATTTGGTTGTCAATTTCCGAAGCATTCTGAGGGTCATTTCCAATGCAATACTATTGGCTGCAAGTATAGAAAATGATTCGTAGAAGCGTGCGAGTGTAGTTCGCAGTATTATTATGGAAATTAAATGTAGACTTGGTAGAGTAAGCTTTTCTCCTGCTGAGTAGACATGCCAGAATGAAGGAAATTACTTTATAAAATAAAAAAATGGTTACAAAGAATGGATGTAGATGCTGTAGGAACAAAGTCTTGGTAGTTGATGTTGTCCACTCTACGTGCTTTGAAAGATCGAGTTCTTACTCAACAACGAAATAGTTGTTGATAATTGCATTATTAGTTACACTTGTTTTCTCACCTTTCCTGACCTTCTGTGGCAATAGAGATTGTTAAACTGGTTTGCCATTACAGAAAACCTTCCATCCTCCCTCACAAGCCCTTGTTAACTAGAACCGATGAATAAATTATCGACTCGTTTACATTATCGTTCTTTCACAACTTGTTCAAAATGATTTACTTCTCAACCAGAAGTTATATTTAGTCATGGTTAACCAGCCAAGTAGTTTCTCATTCAGGTGAATGTTAATTTTCAGGGGATGGACAGAAGTCCCAGGCAGCAATCTCTCTGCAATCATCTCCGGGAAAATATCATGGTCATTTTGAGCTTGGATTCAGCCAGCCAGTGGTAAGCCTTTCTTTTTCGATTACTTTTCATTTATTTATTTGTGAATCAATAACTGTTTTAGGAATAATGAATATGGTTTTTGTCAAAATTGCTGATAAGTCGATTCTTTGTTTGGAACTTGAATTGTAGATTTGCGCAAAATATCCATTTATGGATCAATGCTATGGACTATTCTCAACCTATGGACCTCAAATTTCGGTGCTTCTTCGATCTCTTCTCCTACCTTACTATAAATGGAGCTATTACTTTTTTCAATCATGTTAATTCCTTGAAAACAATATTTCTATTTCTATGTAATCTGCTAATTTTGGAATATACTATCGTTTTCTTACTGGTGCATTAAAATGGAAATATGAGAAATAGAACCAGTTTAAGAAGCATGAATCTCTATTTACGTTCTTGGTTCTCTATGATAATTTTAGCTTTGCGAACTAGAAACCATTTAGGATTTAACTTAGAAAGTCTCTCTTAGCACCCCTCTGTGTATTTTCGTGAGTTAGAGTAGGCCCGTCTTTGCTTGTCTTTGAGTTTTACTCTTATTAAAGTCGGAAAATGGTCAAGGCAAGCAGAGAATCCGTTTCTCTGCGAAAGAGGCAGTTCTTTTGAGTGTAGCAAATTTACTGATGCACGTACTTATCCGTTTGCTTAGGGACGCATTATGCTGCCACTGAACTTGACTGAGGATGAAGGACCAATCTATGTAAATGCTAAGCAGTACAATGGAATCATGCGTCGCCGACAATCCCGTGCGAAGGCTGTCATTGAGAACAGAGCAGCTAGACTGCGTAAGGTATGACATCTGAATTCGATAAGATGCAAGTTTCAGAAACAAAATGCACATCTGATGAAAAAATATTTCTCTTGTGCAACGACATAGTCAGTTAGAATGACCTACGATCTATTTTGTTTCTACAGCCGTATATGCATGAATCGCGCCATCGTCATGCAATGCGCCGACCAAGGGGCTGCGGTGGTCGTTTTCTGAACACTAAGACTATGAACAATGGGGACAAAGGAACTGAAGGGAAGCAAGTTGGTGATGGGCAGCTGTTTAGGCTTTCGGGTTCTCAGAGTTCTGAAGTCCTGCAATCCGATAGTGGAACTTTAAACTCGTCAAGGGAAACGAATGGCAGCATTTCTAACATATCCGGATCAGAGGTGACAAGTACGTACTCTAGGGGAGACCTTGATTGTTTTTCAATCAATCATCCTGGTCCCTCCTTGCACTCTCTCTCAGACATGAGAGATAGTGCGCGTGGTATGGTCATTCCAACCAAATGGGTTGCAGCAGGAGATAACTGCTGCAACCTCAATGTTTGATAGCAAAGGAAAAGATGGGGTTGGTGCCAACTCCGTTGCCTCAACCCCATCTACTCCGCAACCAGATGGAGAAGCCTTGTTGCAGTTTCTGTTAAGGCTGTTGCAACAGGCTTTCGGTTCTAGGATTGTCCTGCCCCCATTTGGTTGCTGTCGAAAGGCAAATCATTCTTGGCTAATGCTTGCGGAAAAGTTTTCCTGCCGTTCGATGCAGTCATCCTGTTCGGGCGGCTAGCGAAAACAGCGGAAACCTTGAAGCAGCATAAATTAATCAGTAGACTGTATATATGGCTCTCTTCCCATAAGAGGAATCAAAACTTAAGAGTCTGGTGTGTGTTTGTGATAAGAAAAAAAAAAAAGCTAAATGTCTTGTGTAATACTGTAATATCTTAGTGTCTGGATTTTTGACCTACTTGATTGGTGTGATGTATAACTGAATGCTTGTGTTGTGTTCCGAACGTTTGGAAGAATAATGTATCATATTTTAAGACATATTTCTTGCCTTATCGATGTCAAGGAAGGAGCTTTCCAAGCGTGGTGATACTCAAGCCAAGCACCTAAACAACACATATCACATATTGTTATAAAAATTTCCACCTAGGTGCACGATGGCTGGCCACTGTCTTGATTAATCCCTAAGCGTTTGAAAATTAAGAAATGGCTTCTAGACCTACTTAGGCGCCGGTCTAGCCAATCCAGACCTGCCTAAGTTGTGACTCTCACTTAGACAAAAAGTAAATAACTTTCATTGAATTTTTTTTCTTTCAATAAATTATAAGAGACTTGTTGATTATTTAGATAAACTCACATTATATGCTTGTTTCCCATGGTTTCATTATGTTCTATTACTTTATAATCTATATGTTATTCTAGTTTGCAATTTATATATCCCAATGTAATTATGTACTTTTTAATTGTAAGAAGAAACTTATTTAAATGATAATATAATAAATTTACTTAAATCTGTCGGGTCTGCCTAGGACCCGTCCTACGCCCAGCCTAGGCCCCGCCTTCCCGACTAGCGCCTACCTTCTTTTAGAGCAACTCCACTGTTGCTTATTGCCTAATTGGGATAGGCAACCCAATCCACTCTCCTCTCCCCTAAAACACTTCAGCCCACTCAGCAATTGGACCTAAGGCGAGCTCGATGGAAAAGTCAGACAATAATCACCTAGCTCAGCACCCTACCTATGTGACGTAAGGCTGACGTCAGCCATCAATTTAAATTATTAAAAAAATTACAAAGAATATAAAAAACTAATTAAAAATATAAAAAAATATAATTATTTTCTATAAAGATGTAACCATGGTCTTCCATTTTACAAATACGTAGCCACATTCTTCCACTTTACATTACATTTCAATATTTTCGAATACTTTTAACTAATCTTTTATTGTTATATGAAATTAAAAATAAAGTTATCTTTTATTATTTTATAAAATAAAAAATATTAATATTTTAATATGAATTACCTTGGCTATTCAATTTAGGGGTGAAGATGCACTCAGACAGTTACTATTCATTGCAAGCAATTACAGTTCATTTAAGAGGATTGAGTTGCATATTGCCCAGGAGGCCTTCCTACATTGGAAGTGCTCTTAGAGCCTTGATATCAGGTGACGTTGATCTAGGCTCATTACCAAATTCACAAAGCAATACTTCACCATGGAATTTTGATTAGGGGTGGGTTCAAAAAACCTGAACCGAACATCGAACCGAGACTGAAAAAATTGAACCGAATTGAAAAAACCGAACCAAACTGAATTCTTTTGGTTCGGTTTTGGTTTTAGTGGTCTGAAAATCGAACCAAACTGAATTAATTAAATTGATATTTATTTTATTTTATTTATTTAATTATCTGTTTTGGATATATATATATATATATATATGTATATGTATATGTGTGTGTGTGTGTGTGTGTTGGAATGTGTAACGGGTAATTATTATATTGGGTAAAGTACAAAAAACTACCTCAACTATTGGTGTCACGACACTTTCATACCTTATTTTTTAAAATTAACAATGGCATACATCATCTTTAGAATTTGGTCCAATGTTAAAAATAATAATAAAAAGTTAAAAAAATAAAAAAATAAATAAAAAACCATCAGTTCATCCCTCCCCTCCCCTCCCCCCTCTTCTCTCTTCTCCCCATCTTCATTTTCTTCCCCCACCTGCAAACCCAAAAAAAAATAATAATAATAATAATAATATATTTGAAAACCCAACAACCCCCCCTGCGGAAGAACAAGAAGGAGAATGAGGAGGAGGAGGAAGAAGAAGAAAAGGAAAATAAGGAGGAAGGAAAAAAAAAATATCCCCCCCACCCCGGTCGGCGCGGAAGAAGAAGAAGGGAGAAGGAGAAGGAGGAAGAAGAAGAAGAGGAAGAAAAGGAGGAGGAAGAAGAAGAGGAAGAAAAAAAAATTTGAAAACCCATCAACACCCCCCTGCGGAAGAAGAAGAAGAAGAAGAAGAGGAGGAAAAAAAGGAGGAAGGAAAAAAAAAAAAAAAATTTGAAAACCATCAACTCCCCTACAGAAGAAAAAGAAGGAGAAGGAGGAAGAAGAAGAAGAGGAAAAAAAATAAATAAATAAATTTGAAAACCCATCAAACCCCAAATCCACCACTCTCATCCATTATCCACATCCTCTTCCGCACTCATCCTCCACCTTCTCTACGCACCCATCTTCCTGCCGACAGGATCTGGGTTTTTTTTTTTTTTTTTTTTTCTGGGTTGCAGGAGGGAGAAGGGTGTGGGTGTGGGTGTGGGTGTGGGGGAAGACAAATTGGATTTTTTTTTTTTTTTTTTTTTTTTTTTTTGGGATTTGCAGGTGAGGGAAGAAGATGAAGATGGAAGAGGAGAGAGGAGGAAGGAGGGAGGAGTGGGGAGGGGAGGGACGAAATGAGGGTTTTTTTTTGTTCTTTCTACTTTTTATTATTATTTTAATATTTTAAAAAATATTAAATAATTGTTTTTTAGTTTTTAATAATTCTTTTAATAGAAAGTAGGTCCCGAATCAAGCCACGTCAGCACTTAACAGAAAAATTAACGGAGGTATGACATTGTCACAAATTCGTAAGATGCAGTATGACATTGTCAATTTTAAAAGATGAAATATAAAACTATTGTAACCCCAATAGTTGAGATAGTTTTTTGTACTTTACCCTATTATATTATTAAAATAACTAAAGTTGGTTGACAAAAGTTGTATCAAGCACATGGGTACTTGCTTTCTAAAGATAGAAATCTATCTCTCTTATTCTCTGTTGCCTCAAACTACTACCCATTTCTGAGATCTAGCAAAGAGCCATCTTGAGCCCAAAGCCAAATGGCTCTCTTCCACATTTCCATCAGTGCCTCTTTCTCAAAACAACCCATGTCCTTTATTTCTCTACTCTTTGCATAAATCTCATCGCTGCAACCAAAATCACAGAGCCTCCAAGGGTACATAAATCTGTAAACTAACCTCCAAGGGTGCATAAGTATGCATACCTCATTAGAAGATCAGTCCCAAAAACAAACCCCTAAGGTAAAAATCTCTCTTGGCTGCTATTTAGTTCTATTGGGTTTATTTTCATGGAAAAATCAAAGAACTAACACATGTATGCGTTTTCTTTGTGAAAGCCCTCGGATCCACAACAAGAAAGATACGATGACACCCAATAATGTCAAATCCATGGCCAATCATCCAACTCCTGATCATCAACCATAGAATCAAAACTGCACTCCCGATCATCAGTCATAGAATCAAAACCCTTATCAGGTGTATAGCTTCCATCTGCTCTTGACTGCCCAGTTAAAAAATAAAAATAAATTAAGAAAATAAAAATAAAAATAAACAATTTTCATGGAAAAACCAAACCGAACTGAAACCGAACCCAAAAAAACCGAAACCGAAGAAAAACCGAACACTAACTTCGGTTTGGTTTCCGATTTTGGCCAAAAATCGAACTAAACAGAACCGAATCCACCCCTAATTTTGATTATCTTCACGAATGTGTGATGAAAGAGAGTGGAGTGTCAGAATCAGAAGCCTCTTTCATCACTCAAGGGTTTAGTATTTAGGGTTTAGGGTGTGTTTTACTGTTTCAAAAATATCCCCAGTAAACAATGTACATGAATCTCTCTGCAGACCTGCTCTTTCTTTCTCTCTCTCTCTCTCTCTCTCTCTCTAAAGTCTCTCCTCTTCTCTCCCTCGACAAGGTCTTTACCCACAAACCCTGGTTCCCAGCCGTCGGCCCCTATTTTGGTTGGGGTTGGTGGCAACCCTTAAATTTACTTTTCCTGCAACTCTTAGCTTTCCTTACTTTTCTTGCTTTACTTTTGATCCTTATATCTGAGCTCAATGTCACTTTCCTTTAGCTCAGTCTCAGTTTCCCTGGGCTCTTCTCAATTTTCTTGGGCTTTGTCTCAATTTATGGCAATTCTTGTCTCAGATTCAGAATTCATGATTTCTTCCACTCCAATGGTTGTTCCTAGCTGCGAGTCGTCGTCCACCAGCCTTTGCCACTTGACTCATCTTGTGTTTCCTCCATGGATCTCTTTGGGAGACATGCTTTGGGTTAGGTGGCTCTTAAAGTGTTTCTAACACTATTCGGTAGGATTATGGGAGCACTCATAGCGCGGGTGAGTTTCAACCTCCGTTTTCCACTTCATCCAGTTGGTTTGTTGGATCTTCTTTGGTGGCAGCGACCTTGTGATGGTGGTGGTGGCTGCTTAGGTGGTGGTGGCTGGTCACTCGTTCCAGATCTAGGGTTTTATGTTTTAGTGTGTTATGGGCTCTCCTGTTAGACCCTTACCTTATATTTTATTTGGTTGTATTATTGCTTACTTGGTTGTTTTGGTTTGTCTACGGACTTTCCTAACCTTGTATTAGGCTTTATTTAATGAACTTCACTTCTTTTGGAAAAAAAAAAAAACAAAAAAAAAAAAAAAAAAAAAGAACAGTGTACATGTATGTAAATAAATCCATAAAAGGGGTTATCAAATGAAAATCCAAAAATCCAGAAAGCTTATCCATGTCCCACACGTGGGCATTCGTCTTAGTCAAATGGGAAGCCCCTTCGTCCCGTCTTCTGCCACTCGAAGACCTTCCGTCCCCAAACACCATTTCCTCCCACACAATGCTCTCCATGGCTTCCACAAGCACTTCTTGTTCTTCTCCTCTCTGCAACAAAATCTCCAACTTCTCAATCTCCCACTCACTCACTCCAATTCCCACCCACTTCCCACCACACATTAAACTCCTAAAAGCCCTCAAGCTCAAAGCCTGTTTCCACAGCTTCCCTCACCTCTCTCCTTCCCCCAGTTTCCGCCGCTCGTTGGCAGCGTTCGACGGCTTCGAAGTCGAAGAAGATAGTGAAAGCCAAGGCGAACTAGACCCAGAAGCAGAGCTCCATGAAAAGCAAGAAGAAGAAGAAGAAAGAGAGGAAGTGCCAAAGATATCAGACGCCGGGAGGCTGTATGTGGGGAATTTGCCTTATAATTTGACTTCGACCCAATTGGCTGAGGTTTTCGGGGAGGCCGGCACGGTGGTTTTCTCAGAGGTTTGAGCTCTTCTTCTTCATGTTTCCATTGTTTGATTTGATGGGTTTGTAAATTGTTGGTGATTGTGTTTGTGTGGTGTAGATTATTTATAACAGGGTCACAGATAGAAGCCGGGGATTCGGATTTGTCACAATGTCAACTGTTGAGGAAGCTCAGGATGCCATTAGGATGTTTGATGGCTCTGTAAGTATCAGCGAAATGTGTTTCTTGTGTTAGTTGATTCTTTTAACATGAAAAAACTCGAGAACTGTTATCCAAGAATGTCTATCCTTCGCTACCAAGTGCGATATGATTTTTTTGGAATGTCAATAACAGCTCCCAGAAACTCGAACTCTTTTCGGTTTTTAATTGTTTGGGATGGTGGCAATGGTTGACAGCAAGTAGGAGGTAGAACTGTGAAGGTGAACTTCCCAGAAGTGCCAAGAGGAGGTGAAAGGGAAATTTTAGGACCCAATAGCACAAGGACAGGGTTCAAGGTGTACATAGATAGTCCACACAAGGTTTATGCAGGAAACCTTAGCTGGGGTTTAACTTCACAGGGTCTCAAAGATGCCTTTGAAGAGCAGCCAGGGCTGTTGGGTGCCAAGGTCATATATGAGAGGGTTTCTGGACGATCCAGAGGTTTTGGGTTTGTGACATTCGAAACTAATGAGGCTGCGGAATCTGCTATCGCTGCCATGAATGGAGTGGTAAGAAAACTTTGAGTATCTTATTACGTTGCCAGACTGTGAATACGAGCAGTTGGTTAGGTTAATTCTTAAATCAATGTGTGGTCTAGGTTCACATGGTTCCGTAATAATCCGTGTGTTTGTGTATGAAATTGCAAAACAGGAGGTTGATGGGCGGCCTTTGCGATTAAACATGGCGGCAGAAAGAGCAAGGCCTGTTGCTTCCTCTCCGGCAGCATCAGAAACAACTGCACAAGACACAGACAGCAGTGAATTGGTCTCTCCTCCCGCATCGGAAACAACCACAGAAGACGGAGACAGTGGCGAATTGGTTTCCAGCGTTAGCATCTGAATTTAACATTGCACTAAAGAGCAGCCTAGTACCAGTGTTACGAAACAAAATGATACCGAGGCTGCGGTGATTTTTCGGTTGCAGGGGCAGAGTGAGACTCGAGTTTTTCCAAGGAGCGAGTAATTAGGCCTTAATCATGTATAAACGAATGGAAAACAATTTCAAAGTAATATTGTTTCATGTATAAAATAAATCAGTACAAATGTACCTATTATTTTAAAATGGGGCCAACAACTCCTCGGAATTTTTCTTCAAGTTCCCTGAACAATGGAGGTTTTCTTGTTTTAATGGTCAATTTTGTTAACATGGAACTGCATCGAGTTTTTATCATAACAACCACAATGATTAACTTCGTACGAAAATGTAATGCAGCCTGAGAACAAACAAATTAATCTCTTAAGCAAATTTAGGAAAACTCCCAACTCCTAGCCAGAGGCAGCTAGCAAATAAATACAGAATGCAGTTTAACTAATTTCCCTACTATCCATCGATGTTGTTGAGTATGTCACTTTTAGAAGAAAAAGAAGAGGGTTACGTATTGCCATCCCAATAAAAAAGAGGAACTGAATAACCTTCGGCACGAAGGAGTTTGGCTTTATCACTGAGGGTCATGACCATCAAGTAGAGAATCTGCTGCAGAATCCAAATCCTGAGGAAAGAAAACCCTGCACAACAGTATGTTGTTATTAATCAAAGCTCATACCGTGCGGTGATTGATTCTGCTGGCAGATATGGTGTGGAAAAACTGGCATTATCATGATCAGCTTGCACTATCAAAATTCATAAAAGCCAAAATACACAGCGAGAGGTAAGATTTACTCCATGAGGTTCACTGCACATCTAAAGCAAACAGAGACTAGTACAAAATCCAGAGTCCAGGAACATTTACCTGCAAGTGTTGTGATACAATGTCCGGCTCAGCTGACCTATGTCATTGATACCTTTACAACCAGCTACCACCTCAAGAACTTGCCTGAAAAAAAAAAAAAAAAAAAAAAGAAACGTCATGTTGAATGACGAAGCAGATACAGAAATTAGGAGCTAAAACAAAATTTACTTCAGATGAACATGCACTTGCTAAGAAGGAAATTGTCATAACCGCCATGTTCAAACTAAATTCCATGTCCTAATGTCAAGTTCATGAAATGAAAAATAGACGGACCACAATGTCTTAATATCAAGTTAAGCCAAACAAGAATGTAAGAGACGGACTTTTCCCGACAAAGATAAATGCATGTGTACTGCAGATGTAAAAGCCCAAGGTTGATGATCACTCAATTGAGGCTGCAGATAGTATCTTCCAGATAAAATTTGGCTTGAGACCCATCTATTATTGTACACAATTACGCAGTACTATGGCTTCCTAAGCAGTAAATGGTTTGTGTTAGGGGAAATACTATTCACTGAACAATAGAACAGTCCAACTTCACGCTATAAGAGTTTTCTTCTTACACATTACAGGTTCATTATTCTTTTTTACCACAAGAATAAAAGAAAAGAAATGGAGTTCATAATATGGTGGTAGAAAAATATTTCCACTTACCGAACCAAACACGGTTCATTGCGGTCTTTAACAATGCACTCCTGATCATACTTCTCTTTCTTCTTCGAAGGCCAAATGGACTTCACAAATTTAATCCCAGCACTTGTGTTCTTGATTCCACAATATGGAGAGTCTGTCTCAATCATCATCCTCTCAATAGGAATGTCCCTCACAACGTCGAGATTCTCGGTTGTCTTCAGAGAGCAACCATTTACTCCTGTTTAGAACCAAAAGGTATTCATGACCTCTATCTAAACCAAGATAAAGTGTTCAATATGTCCATCATAACTAACAATTAAAAACACTATTTTATATTCAAACAAGCAAAAGAGGAACTTTGTTCTCTCCTTTCAAACTTCAGATATGCAATAAAATCAGAAAATCAAAAACGTCAATGCAAAATCTGTTGCTCTATTTGCACAGGTTACAAGAAATATATATAATCATTTTTGGACAATGATTTGTAAATTCAATCAGAAATTCATTCTTATGGTGCTCATTACTCAAGATTAAAATAACCAAGTAGCCAGATGTGTTATATAATGAGGGAAGAGAATCGGTAAATTATATAGGGCAATAAGACAAGTTAGACAAAAGATACCCCTGACCCTAAAAAAGTAAATATTTAACCAAAATCCAGTCTATAAAAAAATTAAAAATAAAAAATCTTTCTGCACAACCCCATTTTGCCTGCACTGGGGTCATCTTATTCTCTATAAAGCCCCCAAAATTTCCAAGTACCAAGGAATGTAGGCTAAATTAGTCATAGTGCACTACAGAATATTAGATAGAGGGATTTGAAAATGACTAGACGAAATGCACTATGGGGGATTTGTAAATGACTACTTGAAATGAGTCATTTGAAAATCCTTTATTTAGTGGCTATGTAATGCTCATGTAGTGCGTTTTCAATCTCTCTTATTTAATGTTTTGTAGTGCATAACCATGAATCTTTAAGCATTCATCTACACATAGGATTTAGAGAAAGAAACAGTCATTGTAAACTTTTGCAGGCATAGAAAGATTTGTATTAGAAGACATGCTATTTTTTATAATGTTTTCACCTATATACATGTTGTTGATGGAAAGAAGTTTATCACGATCTTCTGCACAACCAGTAAATGAGTGGGCCACCCCAGCGCTGAATCTGTGAAATAGTAGAGGAAATGTGACACGTCATGCACACATGTACAGCACACCACCATCACATAGAATTGAAAGACAATCATAAAAATTCATTTAGTGCAGTACAAGGCAAAAGGGAAAGAAGACAGGGACGAGATAAACTTGCAGCTATTCTTTCTCGTTAACAGAAATGATTATTCATCAGAAAACTAAAATGTCCAGCTGGTATTTCAGTTGTCAAAAGTGCAAGTTTAATCCAATTGTCCAGTTTATTCTGCATCCCCAGTATAGTAACTTTGGAATTTGAGGGTGAACAAAAATTGAAAAAATAACTGAGAAAATAAAAACAGTGATGATGTTAACCACCACATTTTGACTCTAGAATTACGGTGCTAAGGATTCTCACCTGCCCCTATTTCGCTGCTACAATTTCACAGAAATCTGGAGCAGCTGCACGCATATGCAGAAACATGGGAAGCTTAGTGGCGTGTGCCAATTCAAACTGCTTCTCAAAATACCTGGAGTTCACAATACAGAAAAGAAGATGGAAGAGACACAACGTATCTTGTAACAGAATGAAAGTAAAAGCGTGCAAGCGGAAACAGATAATAAGAAAAACTACTTTTTTCAGAAACCACGTACTTTTTTTGGATCTCTGCTGGGCAAAACTGAAGCCTGTCATAGTCCAGTCCACACTCACCAATTGCAACCACCTTACAAGCACAAGAGAACGAAATAAAAAGTAAAAAATATATTGCTCCATGATATGAATATCTGACCAGACCACTCTCTCAAAGATGTTTTAATGACTTGAAACCCTATAATGCACGCCTCATGTTCCTCGTGATATAGAGAACTTAGGGTACGGGGCACACCTTTCCTTTCTCAATGCCCTCTTTGGCCAATGACAGAAGCGCCTGAAAATGCTTATCCGGATCCCCACTCTCTTCAAATTCCTAAACAGAATAGACAATGATCCTAATTCTCAAGCATCTCTAACCAAAACCGGAAATCAATAGACACACATATCAACTTCTTCCGCAGTTAAAAGTAAAAAGTAAGAAAAAAGGGCAAACCTTGCATCTAGTGGGGTGCACACCAACCGTACAAAAAAGCCTTGCTGCAAAAAAAAAACCAAGAAGAAAACCCCCCAATTGTAGCTCAAATCGACATTTTTAAAACTTGGCAATGACATTTATTCACAACAATACAGTAACAGTAACAAAACAGAGCAAGCAAAAAAGAACCATCGGTTTCCGCAATTGTTAGAGCTTCCTTTGATTCCTCAAGTGATCCACCAGTGACCTACATTATCCATAAGCCTAGTTCCAATTTCAGAGCGCATTAAACCACAACAATTACTTAACAATTCAAATCGAAAAGGAAAGAGAGTACGATAATGCGGTCGACGCCGGCAGTCCAAGCCCTGCTCAAAACCGTGGCTATGTCCGAGACATGGCACTGCTTTCCATTGTATACTCCTCTGAACATCCATCTGTAATTTGCATTTCTTCAAAATTTCAGTTTCGATAGTCGAATTTGACAAGTATGAAGTTTGATTTTTGGCAAGACAAAACTGGCATGCCAAGTGTTTGATGAAATGCCTGAGTGACTGACCTGTGAAGTTGACGGCTATGTCTATATTGGGCATCACCAAAAACAGCAGAAAGAGAGAGAGAGAGAGAAAGAGAGAACGTAAGAAGAATGAATGGAGGTACGAATTGAATTGTTGCAGAAAGCAAGGATTTAGGAAGAGATACTTGCCTATCATGCGGATTGTTGCCATGGCCACGGCGAGAGGAAAAGGAAGAGCTGGTGCTCTAATTCTACAAAATGTCTGGTCTCTGGTTTTTGTATCGGTTAGGGTCCGGTTTGGTTCGGTTTAAAACTCAAATCCATCGAACCGGTGATATTGGTCAAATCATGATCGAATTTTATTGGGTTGGTTTTTCTTTTTACTAGATAGAACCTAACTATAGCTAATGAGACGTTTACGTATAAATTAAATTGAATTAAATTTTGATTACAAAGTGCTCCTAACGTTTACTAAATATTGGAGAATAAAAAAAATGATGGGATACAAATGAATTTTGGAATTCAATTCCTCATTTTGAAGAATTAAACACTGTATATATTGTAGCATTCCAATTCCAAATGATGTTAAAAATCCGGAATAATTTTTTTTCACTTATTAGGGTTAACTGATTTTATGTGAATTTTAAATCGATTTTATCTGTTACAAAATTAATTAATAATAAGCAACCATTTATGTATTTTCTTTTTTGTAATAATTAAGCTAACAAAAATGAAAAATACAAAAAGAAAAGGAATTTAGCTTAGGACCAAACCGCCAAAACAGTGGTTCGGCTTCAATTTTAAAATAAAACTGATCCAATCCGAACTATACTCACCCCTACTTAGTATCCACATGGACCACGTTTCTTTTGTTCATATCATCAACTGAATCTATGAATGTCTTTGCTCTTTGGCCACTACTACAAACTATATAGATCTCATTCTCTTTAATTAAAAAAAAAATACAAAATGTCATAGAAAGATCACTATATATGAAAATAATGCACTCGTCAACCAACCAACCTAACCAAAGAAAGTACAAGTATATATATACACAATACAATATACGTACAAAAGAAATGGAGAGAAAAATAAGAACAAAAATGCATATGGACCACAGACATATCTCACAGCAAAAAGGTGAAAATTAAAAGCTAAAGAAACGAAATGGTAACCAAATGACTGTTAAATTATGATTTACTAATTAGGCAGCGTCGAGGCCAATATAATCCCGACGATGATGAGTAAGAGTATGATGCCGTAACAGGTCCATTTACGGGTGTTTTTCTGGAAGAACCTGGCTTTCTGCAACTGCTGGGTGCCGGAATGCACGTACGAGTTAGCTCTCTCCACGTGGCCCTGAATGTCGTCCAACTGGTCACCTTGAGCTTGCACAAGAACTGCCATGTCCATGAACACCTGGTGCAACTCATTCAGATTCCTTTCCATGGCCTTCACACCATCATGTCTCTCTTGAATCTCTTGTATGGTGTCCAAAACCCTCCCTCTTCCTTGCTCTTGGATTGCCTTCTGTAAAAATGTCTCGCTCTCGCCTACATACATATGCATATATAATTGTTTGCAATTTAGTATTTAGTTGTATGAGCATCGTTGATACTCCACTCACTAATTTTGCACAGGGGTAGAGGTAATTAATAACTTATTACATTACTAATCACTACTCGTAACTTTATTAATATAGTACTAATCCTTACTCCATAGTTTCATAATCGATCATGTTTTAGGTATTGAAAAATCATCCCTCCAAAATTCACTTCAATCGTAAGTGGTTTGGTTGTCAGACTCAGACCTAATAAATAAACTAAGATAGTATTATTAGTAATTAAACAATGAAATGTTCATAATAATAATATTCAAAGGGTTAAAATGATTTCTAAATTGAAAATTTTTTTGTAAAGGTGATCTATGAATGAAAACCTGAATAAATGGGTTATTATACAAAATGGTCCCTTAGATTTGCATGATCAATAGAAATGGTCTCTGAGATTGAAAATCAATAGAAATAGTTCCTGAGATTGTCTACCATCCATGATTTTGGTCCTTCCGTTAAAAACGATTTTGGGCAATTTTCAAAGCTTTGTAACTCAATCGTTTTTTAACCAAATTCAACCCATAATATATCAAAATGAAGACAGGAAAGTGTAGAATAAGATTATATCTATTTGGAAGCTTAATGGTTGCCGGAGATGGCCGTAAAATAGCCTGAAAGGTGACTAGTCCGCGAGAAAACTGGAAAACTTGCCGGAAACTGGGTAAACTTTAAACGTTCATAACTTCTTCAATACTCAACCAAATCGAGTGATTCAAAAACGAAAATAATATTTATTGACAAGACGAAGAGAATTGTATCTTTTTTTAAGGCTAACTCACCGTGGTTTGGTCGGACAACTGTTCGAAAGTGGCTAACTATTTTCGACTTAGCCACTTTCGAGCAGTTTTCCGGCCAAACCACCACGAGTTAGCAGTAAAGAAAGATACTATTCTCTTTGTCTTGTTGTGAAGTATGATTTTCGTTTTTGAATCACTTGATTTCGTTGAGTATTGAAGAAGTTTTGAACGTTTAAAATTTACCCAGTTTCCGACGAGTTTTCCAATTTTCCCGCGGACCAGTCACCTTTCAGACTATTTTCCGGCCATCTTCGGTAATCATTGGGCTTCTAAATGATATAATCTTGTTCTACACTTTCTTATCTTCATTTTGATATATTATGGGTTTAAATTGGTTAAGAATTGATTGAGTTACGAAGCTTTGAAAATTACCCAAAGAGTTTTTAACGAAATGACCAAAATCATGGATGGTGGACAATCTCATAGACCATTTCTATTGATTTTCAATCTCATGAACCATTTCTATTGATCATGCAAATCTCAAGAATCATTTTGTATAATAACCCTGAATAAATTAATTAGATTATCATATTATGTTGTGGAGGGAACTCGACTTACTAAATTATTAGCGTTTCCTTAGTATATAGATACATGTACATCATTACGTATATGGCATGACATCTTAATACGGTGTACAAATTTACACAAATCATAACATGTGTATTATATATTATTAAGGGTTAATCTCAGTTTACTACCCTTAAATTTCTTGGCTTTCAACATTTCATACATCAAGTTTTTTTTGTCCCAGTCTGATACCTAAAGTCATAATTTTGGGACACTGTCATACATCAATTAAGTTTTCCGTCAGAACCTTCTCTAACTGATGACGTGAATGATAACTGGACACCACGTGGACATTAAAAAAAATTAAAAATTAATGTCCATGTGGCGACCAGTCATTATCCTACTTGAGCACCATACCATCAGTTAATGGATGTTCTAACGAAATCTTAACGGATGTATGAAAGTGTCCTACAATTATGATTTTAAGTATCAAACCAGGACGAAAAAAAATTAATGTATAAAATGTTAAAAATCAAAAAATTCCAAAACAGTAAACTAATATTAACCGTATTATTAATATCTAACTTCTAAACCTCAAATGAATCCAAGATCTGCATGCCCAAGTGTATCAAATATATGAACCAATATAGTCTTTCATATCAGTAGCACTCAAACCTAGATTCACTCTAGAACTCGCTTCTAGGGACAAATCATTTGTTGAATAAATTTGGTGGGCGTAACTTTATTGACCTGCTATTTTTATTTCAAATATTTCACACATGTTATGTTACCTGTAGAGATGAGAAGGTCTAGGGTTTTGTCGTCGGGGTTATCTCCGGTGACCGTGAAGTACCTACGCTGAACGGTCTCTCTGTGCTCCGATGAGATCTTGTTCCTCAAGTCGTTAAAGCTATCCATTGAATCCTTTAGCTTCTTCCTCAGCCCATTGACCACCGACGTCCGTGTCCGGTCAGATGAGGAGCCAGGACCGCAGCCGGGCAAGATCCGATTGGCGGCGTTGGACTTGTCCAACGCATCCAACTGCACCTTAAGAACCTTAGCGGTCTTAAGGGCGGTATGGACGTCCGCGTCCATGCGGGATCGGAGGTCCTTGAGTGCCTTGGAGTTGTGGAGAGTCTTGCTCTGCTCGTGTGCGCTTTGCAAGCTCTTATTGATCTTTTGAAGCTCATTGAGCTCGTTCTGGATCGACTCCACGTCCTGGAAAAACTTGTTGAGTTCGTTGGATGTCGCCGCCATTTCAATGACATGGTGGTCCAGCGAGTCCTCGGAGAAGGAGCTGGAGAGCAAATCGTTCATTTTCCGATGCCGTAATTTGCTCTGAGATCATATACTCTCAGAATGTTAAGCTTTTCTCTCTGAGTTTCTATGCACTCAAAATTTAGGTTTTGGATACATGTTATACACAGAGAGATGTTTTGGCAGTCTTTCTTGACCTGCAGGTCAGGTTTTGGCTGCGTTTCAAGTTCTCAACTACCAAATTTGAAGGGTTCAAACAAACATTATCCCCCAAGTACCAAGTACATTCCTAGCAGCCAAGGACCATGTTTTTTCCAACCTTCTGGAATCTATTTCTAGAAATGTAGGACCGTTGTTGTAGACTAGTGGAAACATGCGCTAACAATCTGCCATGATATTTTTTTGGGAGCTTTTAGAGATAAGGACTTACTAAAGATGATTTTTAGAATATAGCCTGCAAGGTTTTTAACATCTAGTGATCTTTCATTTTAATGCGCCATAACATGCATGTCACCTATAATAATACCACATATTTTACCACAATTTACATGGTTGTCATCTTAATTTTTTAGAATGTAACCTACACTTCCTGATTTCAAAAAAGTAATAGAAGGGGTGCGAAAATATTCATATCACAGAATTGAAAACAAGACATGAAAGCAGGCTACAATTGCACCTGTAATCAATGAAAATTTTCAAATTTTAAAATGGCAACTGTCACAAAACAGTATGTTAGGTATTGTTACCTTCTACAACTCCATAAAATCTATTTGAAGCTACAATAAAAAGAGAAATTATTGCTCGGGTTAACGATTCGTTGCCTTTGTCGGAACCCAAGAATTACTTGTAAGCTGCGGTTTGTATTTTTATTGTTTTAATCAACACATCAGTTGGTACGGTTTGTGTTGTTGTTGTCTTAATCATAAGCTATATAGTGTGGAAAATGTGTGTAGCTCTAATAATCAACACACTAGTTGATACCTGTGTAGCTTTTTGGTACAATTGGTATGTTTAGGTTTGATAGTTTTCATTGTTTTAGCAAGAATAGATTATTTTGCAATGCACACCATGTGTTTATTGAAATCCTATGTGGTAAATTTGCATTTGGTGGTTTTGTTTTTAATTTAGGTACGGCCAATTAGGTCCGATCGATTCAGTACAGTCAATTAGGTATGCTATATAGGATGTGAAGCAGAGATGGAAACATTGTAAGTAGAATAGGATGTGATGTAAAGGTGGGGGATGAAATCTCATTGAAAAATAGTGTAATGTACATTGTAGCTGGGTAGGGATTGAGGATATGGCCTAAAGTATTTGTTGGCTGTGAAGTGCCATCATTTTTTTGAATTTTTATATGGTCATTAAGTCCGGTCGATTCGGTATGATCAGTTAGGTACGTTACTTAGGATAGCTTCAATCGTTTCGGTACAGTCAATAAGGTAAGGAAAACTTATGTTTGATTCCAAACAACATGTGATGACTGATATTTGATTCTGAACAACACCAGATTAACCATTGCTACAATTGAAAAACTTATATATGTTTGCTCAGTTCTCTGAGCTTGACAATGATTTTTACAACAATGGGTTGCCTTCAAATCCAACACCAATCAGCAATCCCAGATTGGTTTACGGGTTCAAAAGCATGGAAATTGCCAGTCAATATCACAGCAGCTTCACAACAACTGTAGGTGCAGTTGACGATGAGTAATAAAACTAAAATCACCGAAAAAAACATAGCTCTATCAATTTCTGGTTCAGTATATAGAAAAGAAGCGTGAACATTGTCATCAGCAGAGAAGGAGGAAAAAACTTCATTGCCGCCAAAGATGGGGAATTCCATTGTAACCAAAAGAGGAGGGATATGAAGAATCAATAAATACAAAACACTAAAACATTGATTTGTAGGAAACTAAACTACAATAATTCTATTTAAAAAATGATTAAATATGATATGGAATACCATAATCTGACGTGAAGGACTATTTTTAGTTTTTAATCTTACATAGGGTATTACTGAAAAAATAATCTTATTTAGGGATTCAAATGAAGTTTTCTATATTTTTTTTCCTCAAGGTTTAGGTTTGGAAATCCTTTGCTCTATCTTGGAAGTAGGAAATCTTACATGCCCCAATCACAGATTGACATGTCTGCAATAACTTTTCTTTCTGTATTTTTTATGAGTTATTTTTGTTTACATGTCAAATTGTGATTAAAATGTAGAAAGTCTTTGCATATAAGTTAAACTAAAGTTGATTAATGCTATCTAAACACACAAAAAAATTGACAAACTATCTAATACAGTTGAATCTCATATACAACCGTATTATGGATTGATCTTTGGGGTTAATTACCGTAACTTCCTTTCAGTAATTTTGCGATTACCAATCAAAATGAAAGGTAACAAAGGACATCGATTGCTAAGCTTAAGTTTTGACCCCAAAAAAAACAGCACAAAAGTAGAATTACAAGCTTAAGTCATTTTTTTACACAACGGGTGCGCACAATATACGCCATTTACAAAATTTAAACTTAAAACTTTTCATTTACCAATGACGATAGATACCACTTGACCGTAATGCCAAGTGACATTTTAATTATGTCATTTTCTTGATGCCCCCCTAAGAACCATTTGTGATATCCAATATTTATTAATATTTGGTACCACATAGTTATCACTCATCTCAATTTTCAGATTCCACGGAGAAAATAAAAAAAGAAAAGAACAAAAAGAGCATTTATACGTGTGATAATTGCCAGTTGCACACTTCCACGTTTAATGTCCATCCTTCAAGTAAGCGAGTTAGAGTCAAAATTGATCTGCCCCCTTGACCACCAGGGCTCTCCAATATTGATCAGAAATGTCCATCCTTCAAGTTAACAACTCACTCATTATTTTGGCATGGAGGATGCAAAAGGATACAAGAATAGTAACTTAATACTACGGTCGAGCGATATTTTTCTTTACTTGTAAGTGAAAGTTTTAAGTTAGAATCACATGATTGTGAAAATTCAGTTTGGGAAATTCAATCTTCACCGCTTATATTTCAGAGTTCAGACTACATTGGATCCCCCCCCCCCCAACCCCCGGGGCGCGTGGGAACTTTCACTAAGTCGTTGCCTTCCTAAATTTTTCCATCGGAAAATTAAGGACTCATGCTTATTTTTTTGGCCTTTTTCCCCCAATTGTTAGTTTTGGGGATGTGCTATCCACACACTTCATTTTACTTCTCACACACTCTTTGATAATTTCTGTCTATTGATCTTCTTCAATTCATCCAATCCGATGGCCAAAAATTAAAAAGATATGTGAGAAGTAAAATGGGGTGTGTGGATTCACACCCCTAGTTTTTTTATTATTATATCCAAATTTATGTTAAATGAAAGCATGTATACAACATGTAAAGATAGTTCAATCGCTTCGTTCTTTAAAATAATTGAAAACCCTAGATTTAGAAAATGTCAACCTATGCAAATATGTGTGATTATGTAGCTTTTGTGTCTAAATGTCTAGTGAAGTGTCATTTTTTTCTTCTAAACAAACGATATTATCTACGCTAAATGAGTAGACTAAGTCTCATAATTGACTAGTAATAATGTGGTTCAAATTCACTTGGTAAGAATCGAACCTAAGACATCTCACTTATAAGTAAAGAGAAATATCACTAAATTATAATACTAAGTGGTTACATTCTAACTTTTAAGTATTTTAAATTTCCAACCACTTTTCCCACCACACGTTTGACTCTAAAACTGACCTTTACAAAGGAAAAGGATCCTCGTGATCATGACCGTTCATCTTACATCCAGCGGTCAGAAATCATTTCAAAATTTCAAATTTAAAATTAAATATAAATAGTACCTAATGAAAACTAACCGCATGATATACGATAAATGATCACATGATCCTTAGGATCCCGAGAGATGCTTTTCCCTTTACAAAATCCATAAACAGAATACGATAGCTAAAAAGAACACAAAAGGTTACAAAGCAAGCAATGAACCTATACGAGAGCTTGTATTTTTCTTTTTCATTTTTTTCAGACAAAGCAATATTTTAAGCTATCTTAGTACCGGAAAGAGATTTAAACTTGATACGAGTAAGCAAACACAACTCTGATCAACTGGTCAAACGTAACAAAATAAAATGAAGAAACCCCTACTATAAAAAATAAATAAATGTCACAAAAATTAACACAAACAATAGGAATGTGGAATATGAACAAATCACAATACTCTTTACTCTCTCCTCTCCTACTGCGGCGGCGATGGCGCGGCGGGCGTCGGATTATTGCTATTATTGCTACCGCCACCCCAATTCCAGGGCTTCAAGCTGAGGATCACGATCAGAATAATAACCAGCAGCAGAATAATGGCGAAGCAAGTCCACTTGCGGGTGTTCTTCTGGGAGGCCCTGGCCTTGGTGAGCTGCTGGGTGCCACTGTTGACGAACGAGTTGGCTCTCATAACGTGGTTTTCGATGTCGTCAATCTGCTCCCCCTGCGCCTGCACCAGCACGGCCATGTCCAGGAACACCTGGTGCAGCTCCTGCAGGTTCCTTTCCATGTCCTTTACGGCGTCGTGTCGCTCCTGGATCTCTTGAATCGTGTCAAGGACTTGGCCCCTCCCTTGCTCCTGTATTGCCTTCTGCAGAAACGTTTCGCTCTCTCCTGCAGATTTCATTCCCAATTTGATTAATCAAATGGTTCATTAAGCATTTATTTTTTCAACCAAAAAAATAGTTCATGAAGCATTACAATTGCAGGATTAGTTTTTAAATTGCGACCGAATTGGAGCTTTGGTCTTTAAATTAAAAATGATTGAAACTGGTATTTGAATTCACACAAAATGTGAAACCTTGGTCCTTCGTGCCAATTCACTAAGAATTTCCGTCACAATTAAGCGACACTAATAACAAAATCGAGTAACATAATTCTTCAGGCACTTTCGCTTTGCATGCTTAATTTTGACGGAAATTCTAGTTCGAATTATGGTTGCACTTTAAAGTTTTAAATACTAAATCCACGTAATTTTGACGGAAATTCTGACTAAAGTTATAAATAAGGATCAATGCTCTACATTTTGTCAAATTTAAATCGAATTTTAATGAATGCTTAGTTTTAAGGTAAAAGCTATAGGTTAGTCAAAGTTTGGGACTAATGTCACAACCCTCTTTACTTAATTCCATTAAGCAGCAAAATAAATGGCGACGAATGATAGTTAAAATGTTAGAATGACGGATTTGCCCTTACCGGTGGAGATGAGAAGGTCTAACGTTTTCTCGTCGGGATTTTCGCCGGAGACGGTGTAGTACCTCCGCTGTACGGTCTCGCGGTACTCGGACGAGATCTTTTGCCGCAGAGCGTTGAAGCTGTCCATGGAGTCCTTGAGCTTCTTGCGCAGGCCGTTGACGACGGAGATCCGCGTCCGGTCCGACGACGACCCCGGCCCGCAGTTCGGCAGGCTCCGGTTCGCGGCGTTGGATCGGTCTAGCGCCTCGAGGCGGACCTTCAGCACCTTGGCCTTCTTCAGGGCGAGAGTGACGTCAGCGTCCATGCGGGATCGGAGGTCCTTGACGGCGGAGGCGTTGTGGAGCGTCTTGCTCTGCTCGTGGGAGGACTGGAGGCTGAAGTACACGCGCTCGAGCTCCTTGAGCTCGTCCTTGACGGACTCGACGTCGGCGAAGAACTTATCGAGGTTGACTCCCGCGGCGCCCGACCCCGCCGCCGCCGTCGACCCCATCTCGATTACGTGATCATCGCGCCGCGGCGACTGCTCCTCGCTCCGGAACCGCGAGAAGGAGCCGGAGAACAAATCGTTCATGATTTTGCGAGCTTTGAGTTTTTCAAATCGAAATCGAAACCAAAATCCGATCGGAATCGATAAGAATAATTGGGAATTTGGAATGAATTGGAGATATGAAATTTTGGGGAGGGGGTTTGAAGAGGAATGTGGGGGGTAGATTTAGTCAACGAGGACTCGGACTGTTCAGCTGTGAGAAGAAGAGAAGGGGATGTGGACGCGGTCTGGTGGACTGGTGCGAAAAACGAAAGAGGTGATTTCTTGGAAGGTGAACTGTCTCTTTTATGATTGGGCCACCTGGTAATCTAGAGAGAGAAAGAGGATGAGAGAGATAGAGAGAGAGAGACTTGACCCTTAATCCGGAGAGATATTTTTCAATGGGTCATTTGTAGTATGACATTTCGTGTGTATTGAGTTGTTTTCCGGCACATTGAAAACTATCTTGTTAGCAAGAGAGACTTAATCCTTAATCCTCTGTTTGTAGCCACTTGGGCTAATTACGCGTAAGGACTAAGGGGAAGGAAAAAAGGAAAAATTAGGAATTTAAAGATTGAGTAAACGAGTTGGAAAGCGAGTTATAACACATGAGACTTGGGGCCTGTTTGGGATTGAGGTGCTTAAAAAAAAAGCTACTATGAAAAAAAGCTATGAAAATTTTTGGTGTTTGGTAAACTTTGAAAATCAACTTTTTTTCAAAGTTGAGGGTGAAAAAAAGCCCAAAACCAAGAGATGACAAGAAGCTGCAATTTGCAGCTTCCAAAAGCAGCTTATTTTCACCCACACACGGGTGAACAGTGTCCAGGTTTAATGAAATATACCATAACCCAAAACTGCCCTCGGCTTTTCCTTCACCGACGCTCTCCCCTTTCTCCAAAACGCTCTCGCCTTCCCTTCACCAAAACGCTCTCGCTCTTCACCTCAGAGCTCTCTCGCATAACCCGAACCTCAGGCTCTCTCTCGTTCTCTCGTTCTCTCGTTCCGTCGTTCCAAAAACTACCGATCTCGTTCTCCAGGTTTCTCCAGGTAAGCTTCTCATTTATTTGTTTGGATTTTTCAAATTAGGGATGGGGAGATTAGGGAAAGAGGGGTGGGAAGAGCAAAGGGATGAGGGTATGGGTGTCGGGAAAAACAATTGGGGATGGAGGGTGGGGAAAAATTAATTGGGGAAGGGTGATATGGTTTGTGGAAAAAATTAATTGGGAAAAAATTAATTGGGGAAAAAATTAATTGGGAAAAAATTAATTGGGGAAAAAATTAGGGTTTGTGGAGGAAACAAAAAAGGTCTGCTTCTGATTCTGATTTGGGTATATGTCAGGGCTAATTTGCTTTGAAGAAGGTCTGCTTCTGATTTGCTTTGAAGAAGGGCTAATTTGCTTTGAAGAAGGTCTGCTTCAGAGGGTTTATATTCTCCAAAATTCTGGTTTGTTTTCTTTGTTTCCTAATTGCTTTATATTATGGTTAAGGTTGTTTAAGGAAAATATTGAGTTGGGCAATTCCAACATCTTGTCCTAGTTTATTTTGTCAAGGGCGTGAGTTTTTTGGCTGAGGACATATGAGAGAAGGAGAGGTAGAGTGACGGCTGTGTTTTGGGTGGTTGGGTTCGGAAGAAACTGGAGGACCCTTTGACAAATTTAGGGGAGAGGGGGTGGACATTTTGTAACATAAAGTTCTCTACTGGGATATTATGGGGGATTGGAATATTTGTTTGTGTCAAAACAGAAAAAGGTTAGGATGGACTTGTTTGGAGACAATATGATCAGTTTGAATGAACTCTCATGTAGCTTTATTAAGATGGTCATTTTATTTTTATAATTTGAGAGTGAAATATTTCTGGTCCTGTTTTCTTTTGATAGTTTAGGAAAAATATGTTTTGACCCTTTTCCTCTTTGTATAGCTGTATTATGTGGTGCTTGTGAGGGAAAGGAATGCTAGAAGTTTAGAACCTTTGAGGATACTTTGCAGCAGTTTTTGGCCATTTTTGTTTTGTCTGTTTTTCAAATGGATGTCAGTACATACTTTAGAGTTGTACAGTATAAGTGCATAGACTCGTGTATAGATTTTAGATCTTACTTTGCCCCCTCTTCACCTTCTCCCTTCTTCCTTCTTAATGCGCACCTCTTTCCTATACCTTTCTTTCTCTGACCTGTTCGTCCATTTAGCCAATTACTGGATAAATTAAAAGTAGCAACTTATCTTGTTTCCTAGTCTTAAAGAGGTTTAATTAATCTCTGCCAAGTGATTGAAAAAGTCTCACATCAGAATGACAAGCTCTCCTCTCTTTTTTTTTGGGTCATGCTATTGGTTCATTGTCCAAGTTATTTTGTGTGCATTACTGCATTCTCATTTTTTTTTTTCATGAGTTATATTTCCAAAAGGCTCTGTGACTCTATCTATTCTTTAACTCAGATGTAAATTCTGCAGCATCGATAGACTGCTAGGGGCAAATTGAATTGGTTTATTTGATTAATCAAGCTAGTACACTGGCTGCTATTACTATTAATAGGTTGGCCTGGAGTAATCTCATCTTAGTCTTTTACCATGTCCGTCTCGAGCGTAGTTCTAGGAGTAACAATTGCAAGTTTCAAACTTTAGAAATAAAAAAATCCTAAAACAAGTATCATTTAAAATGAGTATATTGCTGTGAACTTTTGCATTTTTGACTTGTGAGTCCACTTGTACCTCATTCTTTGTCACAATAAGGATAATACAATAATGTATTCTATGTTAGTTATAGTTGTCTTTGGATTGCAGGGTGAAGAAGTCTCTACCGGAGGATTTTCAAAAGAAAGCTGAAGCATCTCTATTAACGGGTTTGGTATCAGCTTCCCTTGCCACACTCACATGTTATCCTTTGGACACTGTGAGAAGACAGATGCAAATGAAGGGCACACCTTACAAGTCGGTTTTGGATGCCATTCCAGGTAGTGTTAAATATTTTTACCATCTGGCACTGAGATACAAGTGACGCATGGTGTTAAATATTTTCACACATGTTCTCTCTATTAACGGGTTTGTGTGTGTGTGTGTGTGGGATTCAAGTTATGGTATATAAGAAAATTTTATTATCTTGTTCTTCGCTTCCGTCTCTGTTTGTAATGAAGTTACATTTTTAGGTCCATAGTCAAAGTCATTGATCTGAGTTGATGTTGCTGGTGCAGGTATTGTGGAGCGTGATGGACTTGTAGGCTTATATAGGGGTTTCTTGCCTAATGCTTTGAAAACTTTACCGAACAGCAGGTTCCATGCACATCCTGTCTATTTTTTTCCTCGTGCATTATGTTAAAAGTATGCGTCGAATGATCTCATTCCTAAGCGCAGTTTTGGTTATTGTTCCATGCTTGGGGATCTATCGATGCTTCAAGCCTTGTACTGTATTAGCTGATGAAATCTCCTTCTTTCAACTGCAGCATTAGGCTCACTACTTACGACATGGTCAAGCGTCTCATTTCAACCAGCCAAAAAGAGTTTCAGAGAATTGTGGAGGAAAATTGCAGTAAACACCGTTAAAAGGCTGTCAGTTGAACAGTCCAACATTTTGTGCTGCTGTATTGTATTTGGCTCACCAAACTACGCGAGTACTAGGAGGCTTAACCTTCACCGAATTTTGTTCCCGACATCATGTGGGACTTGTATTGTGAGGACTGAGCTGCCCAGTGAATGCTTTGTCCCGAGGTTCTAATTTTGTAGGACAATCATTAGTGAGGACTGAGCTGCCCAGTGAATGCTTTGTCCCGAGGTTCTATTTTTGTAGGACAATCATTAGTTCTAGTTCTAGTTAGGTTGCCTATTTTTTGTGGAATTTTGTATTCCACCTGGCTATGCAGTGAGTTTGAGATTATGTTAGGTAGAAATCCTTGTTGTAATGTAATTGCTACAGGTAATGGAAGCTGTTCTGATTGTAATTTTCATGTAGTAATTCTTTTCTTGGCTCAGTTATATCAGAATTGAACACACGATATTATAACATGTACTAATGAATCCTAGCTATTCACTCTAAAATATTTCTATTAAAGTAGTTTGTCATACTAATTAATATTTAAGATAAAGTTTATAAATATTTTTCTTCTAAAAATAAAATATATTTAGTAATTCACTTTTATTTGTTAAGAAAATTAAATTAATAGCACATCTAGTAATATACCCTTTTTGGTCATTTCACACAGTCACAGCTGTTTTACAAAAAAGTTTACCAAACACTATGATACTGCTTTTTGTTTCCAAAAGCACTTTTACAAAAAAGTTTACCAAACACTTTGCTGGCTTTATTTCACAGCCGCTTATTTTCACAGCACAGCCACTTATTCTCACAGCAGCTTTTTTTCAAAGCACAGCAATACCAAACCAGCCCTTGGTCGGGTGTTATTGCGTTTTTGGATTGTGAAATCGCCAATGACACACCCAGCATAAAACTACTTCGTCGGCTTTATACACCCACGCGGGCACAGTTCTTATCACAGGCATTTTACACGCGTGTTTTCACAACTCCTACACGAGAAGAAGTTTAGGGAGATCACTAACGAAAAATGATTTCTGCATACCAATTTTTCTTTCTACACAACCGTGCTTCCCCATCTCTTAATTCTCCTTTGATTTCTTCGACCCACGACCATGGGTGTGATACCGTCCTCGACGTCCATCACGTATATCTCCTTAAGAATTGTAATCGAAACATAAAGAGATACGGCCTTTTTTGTCTAATGAAAAGGGGTACATTCATCCATGTATAACAATTTCGGAGTACACCAACTAACATTCACTGCTCTAATTATTCAGAGAACAAAATGGAAAAACAATTTGATTTCATCTCCTAACTTTCCTAACCCTTTCATAGTTCCTGCTGTGCTAAAATAAAAAATCGAAAACAAAAGAGAGACATCGCGAACATTATAATTTACAGGCCGAAGATACAAAACATAGGACACCCATCGTTATGGAGGACGTAAAAATGAAAGAAAAATTTCAATCTGACTGGAGTACGGTAAGGTAATATGGATATCCCTGGCATGTCCCGGAAGACCCTCTATCCCGATTTTCTTGATCGTTAGAAAGTAAAAGGTTCCAATGCAAAACATAGTTCGACAGGTCATGTGTCCCGGGAGAGAATACACAAACTTGAAGAGGAATTTCAGTTCTTGACATAGGATCAAGTTGGACTCTAGTTGAGCTTGACCCGGACCAAATAAATGGGGAGACACTCTCCACAGGGAATTGACTTACTGACCTGGGATCCAAAGGCATCGGAAGTCACTTTGATGTCAGTCGCCAGTGAGAGGTCATGCCATCCATCTTGGTTGCCAGAAGACGTGGCAGGTTGAACTGGAGTTGCATCGCCTGAATGATCACTAGCACTGGAGTCTGAGGTGTTTATGCGTACAAATGAAACGACATCTGATGAGTTGTAGATTGTCATGCTAAGATTTATTTCACAAAAGGAAGCAGAGAAGTTATGATACAAGGTTCGAGGTCCGTCCACTAGCCATGATATAGGACTTGGGCTTGCAGTACTGTAGATTAACCGCCATAATAGAAGTCAGCGTAACATAAATTAAAACAAGAAACTACAAAGTTAGCTAAAGAGAGCAAAAATCCATTTTGAAACAAAACTTGCCTGCAGTGACATGCATGATGAGAATAAAGATGCGGTGGCTCGGAAACTTCAGGATTAATGTCATTCTTCAAAGGCCGGGAAATCAATATGAAGTCAACTGGATTAGTGTCTCCCTAATCCATACAAAAAGAAAAGGGTCAGTGTGAAAAAAATGCTGAGAAGCAGCCACAGTGCACAAAAGCATAAGCTAATGGGTCATGACTTGTACATGTTCTGATGCACACTTTAGTTCCCCTTCAAGACATGGTGATTTATGAGTCAAACCAAATCCAAACAGTGTCATGAACAAAAAAAGATTGTCGAAATGATATAGCAAGAATATATCAACCTTATGTAAAATTTCCTGGTGCAGTCTTTCATAATGGTGGAAATCTGCCAGGGGAGAGCTAGCTATATCAAAAAGTGGTCCATTACTGAATCTCAAATCAGTTCTCCGAAGTCGGGAATGGGAAGATTTCTCATCTTCAGAAGTTGATGACTTGCCATGATTCTGAATCCAAAATTAATTTCATTCATTAGAAAGAAACGAGGAGAGGGGAGGGGAATAGAGAAAGGGGATGGGGGGGATGAAATTCTGTAAAAAAAGATGGGACCACAGTTTCAGCTTCTTCACGAACCTTGAGCATGAAGAAACATGACAATGCTTGATGAGCGGTCAAAGATTGTGAAGGAATGATGTCATCGACAGGTTGAAGTAATGAGATTTCCCATTGGTTCCCAACAGATGACAACTGTTGAATTTCAAAACTTTCAGAGCTTGTCTTGTTGACAACATCCATGCGCACAAGAAACTCTTGCAATCTTGATGGACAGGGACTAATAAGGAATGACACATCCAATGACGGCAATACCTATGAAAATGAATGTTCATCATTGATATATTGTAATCAATATATTTGAAGATAAGCATCTATTTCAAAAGATTGCATTGATTTATAATCATAAAAAAAAAAAAAATAAAAAAAACCATGAAATACTTCTTAGAAAAGTGAATCAAATCAAGAAACTTTCATAATTGACATTGATGCACACACCTGCAAATTGTAATGCATGCGTAAAGTGCGATATCTCATGGTGCTTGAAGTATCGCCCATCTCATAATATATAGTTATGTACAAGGAAATGTTCCCAGGAGCAGCTGCCCGAAACCAAAGAGGCCACAATAATGGTGTTTCCCCTTGAATAATTGTGTCCTGAAGTATAGAAAGAGATCAACATAAAACACTAAGAGCAGAAACTGGAAATTTATAGCTTCATTATTACAAACCGGGAGAAATTGGATGCTGACCTCTAGAAACAGGGCCTGAGAAATGTCATTAGGGTTAGCATGTTCAGCAGACTGATCAGAATTTGTCTTTTCTAAGCAAGCAGGAAACTCGGTGTTCAAACTTTCTCGCTTTCCAAGATTTAAGAATCTAGGATGACTAATCCTTATTTTCAGATTCTGCAAGAATATCAGGCCATAACATGTAAGCACATTAAACAGATTGTAAGAATATGGTAAGCCCCTGCCTAACATAAAGGTGTATAATCATTAGCTCATGCAATGGCATCTAGTACAACAATCCTGCATGGCAAAGTGATCAAAGAAATTTCAAGACAACTACCTAGACTGCGTCCTAAACAATGAAGAGCAAACAAAAATTTCACAAAAACAACACAGATAAACCAACTAGCTGATTATAGATTTAGAACATAGAGTCCAACTGAGCATACCTTCACAGCAAATTCAGATTTGTTCTTTAACTCCAACACAAGATGCCGTAAATCTCCCGCATATGCCCTTTTAGGTGGTGGATGAATGACACCCTCAAGCTTGGGTACACTCTGACATAGGAAAGAAGATAGTCAGAAGAAATGGATGCCCGAACATAGTCATTGAAGAATTTTGAGGTGGAAAGAATAGGAGGTGGGAGCAAACACCTTAACAACTACAAACTTTAAATTATCACTATGAGGATGCTCAGCCTTCTGTATTCGCTTTCTGCTTATCTTCTTCATGGGGTTAGTGTCAAATTTATGGAAGCCAACAACAGAACCTGACAACTTCCACTTTACACCAACAATCTGTAAAATGCCTTCTATTCTAGGAGTAACCGTTAGTTGCACCTGAAGGGAACGGGAACTGACAATAAGTAGAATTTGAGAAGTATAATAATGAATTTGTAAAAAAGATAGTTTATAAAATGTGTTATGGGAAATCAATTTAACTATATTTTTCAAGCAGAAAGAATAACCAGACATGTAAAATAGATCTCAAAATGTCTTCAAAATAAATAAACAATTGAAGTTGGCACAATGTGCACAGGAAGTACACAGGAAAAAATAAAAATGTAGAGGACTGAGAAAAAAAGGAAGAAAAGACAGTGATTGAAGTCATGCATCATATTAGCTAAAAACTCAGCTCTATTTTATTCTTAGTACAAAGTTACAAATCAAGTTAAGAATGAGAATTATAAAAACATATATTAAATTTTAGTAGTATAACTAACCAGTTTTATTAGTTTCAATCACAAGCAACTCTCTATCATATGCACAGATCGTGTAGATGCAAATTAATTCACTCCATAGACTAAGAAACTCTCTGTCCTAATTGTAATCTGATCCTCTGGAGAGTTGTTCTTGTTCTGTTCTTGGTGGATTTCTTATCCACTTCTGTGTATTACACTTTTCTTTTCTAATAAACTGTTATAGTTTCTTCTCAAAAAAAAAAATAGACTAAGAAACACCAAAAGATATATAGTACTCAGTGATTTGAAAATTTTGCAAAAGGAAAAAATGTGAGAAAAGGGTCTTAATTACTTTACATTTATGGAGGATCCTAAAACACTTCATTCTGCAGTACTTTAACAACACAAATGAAGTACTCACCACAATTTTTTCACCTCCTGCTAATGAAAAATCAACACCAGACAAAGAAAATAAAGAACTCTCAAAGTTCACATCCCTGCAAAAGTCAAGCAAACAAATCCACCTTAGCAGGTGCAAACATGATAAGAACTGAAATAGGGATACTGATATAGACAAGTAATGAATGTTTTCAAAGCCAAAGCGTAATTATCAAAGCATTTATGAGTAAGCCTTTGGGACACAAAGCTCTACAACAAGAAATATACACTGGTCATGGTTTAAGCCCCAAATACACTGACTTATTAAGTAGTCCATGGGACAGCCTAATATCCATTAAAATCATGAAATACGGAAGCGCACAAGCCCTACTAAAAGGCCCAAACTTGGCAAAGCCAAAACTCATTTTACAAACCCAACTGGTTCTGGTTCATATTAAAATAAAATAAGTAAAGAATCCACCGGTTGTGCAATATAAAGGCATGCGGTCAGCCAAACCAATGACAGACAG